TAATCTAATTATACTGCAAACTTATTTAATAAATTGAAATAATAATTCACAACTATGAATTACTAATCAATGAAATTTTCTATAATATCGATCATAACTTAACATAATATAATCACATACACTAATAAAAGATTTCACGAATATTTTTTTTCTATTATCGAGTCACTTTACGAAGAATATTGAAATCAAATATATTTCTCCTTTTCACATGCGTAATTAACATCAAGCTACATATGTGAGAAAAATCAAACACACCTTTTGTTTCTAATTTGAATATTATTCCGAGAATATTGGGCGTAACGAGCGGTCTCAGTGCACAGAGACAAAGTTCTCTCTGCAAACACAATACAGGAACCCATGAAAGAAGAGAAGAAAAAAATCCTCATTCGGTATTGTCAACGGTGCGAGATACGACGATGAAGGAAAAATATGCACGTAGCATACACACATTGCAAGAGTGTACTAAATCAAAAAACAGTATCACGGTGTGGAAGTTAGGGGTGATGAGCGTGGAATGAGCGCGTTTTCATGCTCGAACGCAAACAAAGAGGCTCGATGACAAAACCTGCATAACCTGAATGCTTGCCTGTAGGAAACACAAGAACTAGTAATATCGCCGAATTCCCTCAGGCCACTGATCACGTGATTCGAACGAATCTTAAATTCCCTAGATGCGCGATTTATCAGAGATTTGTGCTGGATTAATTGGCAAAGTATACACAGTGTGCATGCACGTAATAGCGAATCGTGAAAGTATATATTTGCTGTAAATAAAATTACGAACAATGTGCAAGTTGAATTTAAATTCCGAAAGTATTATTATAATTAGCGTAAGACATTATGTATATGAATTTTTTCCTTCAAAGTAACATTCTGACGATGAGAGAAAAACTTTAAAAAACTTCAATCTTATCTTCGTTTAAAAAAAAAAAAAATAACTTTGAAGTACTTGAAGATAGAGCAAAACTTTAAATATTTAAAATGTTCAGATCTCTTTATCTTACAGAAGAGATTTCCAAGTGAAATTGTATTCAAAATACGAAAGAATGCTGAGAATGGGTTTTATTTCTTCGAAGAGATTTTTCGTTTGGGAAAAAAAAAAATTGCTCCATGTGTAATCCATTGTACACACACACGAACTTCCATTAAAATCAGTATATTTCGGTTTAGGTGTATTTTCCTGTATTTTAGTGTTCGAAAAATTTTGTAAGTTTCTATATATATATGTGTGTGTTTTTCTCCCTTTCTCTTCTTCTTTTTTTACGAATGCAAGCAAAACACAGGTAGGTATATCAAGAACCCTTGAAAATTCGGTCGAACAGCGGTTCAGGTGAAGAGAAATACTGCCCCTATTATGTATTCAGATCCGTAGCTAAGCAGTTTCATTCTTCTTGTTTACTGCAAGAACCAACTCTGCTAATTGATTTTTACAAGCCACTGTGACTGAGAAATTGTGGATGGATTACATGAACGAATTAATATATACGCGTTTGATTCAGCTATTTAAGCTACTTTTTGCTAGTTCCTATCGATATTACAACTTTTTATCGCTAAGTGTAAATTATTATTCCATAAAATCTTCCACAAAATGATTTTTAATCTCATGAATATCGAATTATTTCATTTGATATAAATTTAATATATATTAACATAATATAATCGTTAATGAATTAAAAGTGAGATATTTCATTTCATTTCCTTTGCTTTTACATTTTACACCCTTTGATTGTATAACAATAATTTTATAAATTTCAGGAATAGCTAGGATATAGATAAATCGTTATTTATCTATCGTATAAATATTTTATATTTATTCAATTAAAAAACTAAAAATAGAAAACTATAAAAGTGAAAAAGAAAAAAGGAAATAACAATTAACAGGTGTGAAAATTAGATTTTGTCCAACTGAAATTTGATAAAAGTTTGTGATATCATTCGTTTTCAACAAAATTCGATAAAACAAATATAGTTCAAAACTGCAATCCAAATATAGTTTGTTTATGGAATGGAAATCTCTCTTTCTTTGATTAAAAAACGTAACACATATATAAAATGAAATATAACGTTTAGAAATAAATCTAAGTGATAATTTATTTTAAAATAAAAATTCTTCATCTCTTAATTTCCTCTGGATTTTCTCTATCTTACTGGAAACACATTTGCCTATACACAGAATACTACTCTACTTATAACAGTTTAATCTCAAGCTGTTTTTCCAATGAGTTTAACTCTAAAGAATGATCTCTCGTTCTGCCAAGACAATTCCCAAGTTTCACGAAGGCTGAGCAACGACGAAAAAAACATTCTTATGTAACATTCTCGTGTACTCTCTCCCGCAATGATAAATCCCTAACCGACGACGACGTTTTTTACTTTCCACCACGTTGAAACTAATTTTAAGACGGATGGTGAATAACCGAGATCACTATTTTTCTTTAATCCCGCTCTTTAGCGGTTAAGCTTTCCTCTATGCTTTTACCTTCACTTTGGAATAAAAATTCTTTTCTACAATCGTTATCATACCACCTCCGTCAGAGAGGAAGAGCAAAAATAAGTTATTTGCTATACCGAATTTAAAATTATCAATTATTGCGAAAGAAAGTGATTAAATTTCGATTAAAAAATACACGTGCATATTTATATTAAAATATTCTACGTGTAATTAAAACCCAGTTTGAGTTCAAAGAATCAAGAATTAAATAATACGTGAAGCATTAAAGGAAAAATTACCCCAATAAAATATTTCCTTTCAATAATTACCTACATCATTAAACACGAGTAAACTCCATTTCTAAGATTATCTACAAAAAAAAGAAAAAGAAAAAGAATTAATCTTATAAACAGAATTCATCATCCGTTGCTCAAGTAGTAACTTTTCACCCCCGTTGCCCAATCCACTTCCTCAAACTCGTTCCCGTGTCGCAAATCCGCGGTAATGTTAAAGTTGACGGATCGTATCTGAAACTTCCAACGATCTTGGCGAATAGTTTCGCGGTCTGTTGACAGTGTCAGAACAGCAAAAGCCCCATGGGCCGGTGGCTCCCTCTCTCGCCCCTCTCGAAACGAAATGACAAGTGGAACGTGGCGGGAAAGAAAAACGAAGTGAATCGAGGCGAAGAAGGGAAAAGAGGAAGAAGGATATAAGAAAAGCTGGAAGCAACTTCTCAGTTTTAAAAGAGGAGGAGGATAGTGAAGAGATTCGGTAAGACGGTATGCGCTGTTAGCTTCACCCCCGACAATTTCGCCGACCCGACGACGACCCGTCGCTTCGAATCCCCGCTCGATCCTTCCCCACTCTCAAAAATCTAGCAACCCTCCGCCAGCCCATCCCCCGTCGTTCCACGGTTTCCCTCTCTTCCATCAGCGTGCCCGTACAAAATTCAATCAATGCGCTAACGCGCAGGTCTCCTACGACTGTGCAGAGTTCGCCGTTTCGCGTTCCTTTTCTTTATACTCTCTCCATCTTCCCCTTTCGCTTGTTCTTATTATCGGTCCTCCTCGCTTTCGTGGAGAGGATCAAAGGTTAGAAAGTGTGCTTAGAAGGCGCGAAGACTTGAGGAAAGGGATCGCTCGTTTCTGCGGAGGAACATGCGATTTGCTTTTGGAGAATTTTTGAACGGACGCGGTAGTTTGAGTTATTCTGCCTCGTCCAGAATACCGTTCATTCGCACCTATTTCGTGAATGAAGTTGACACGGTTATGGAGATAGTAGTTTAGTAGGTCGATGTTTGTGATACGGAATTTTTTAGATTGTTGTTAAAATTTCCTGATTAACAATTTTGTAACAATGTTTCTATGGTGAAAAGAGATTTTATATTAGAAGTTAATAAATTTGATTCGTAAAAATAAAATGTATTTATCATGTACTTATTAAAGAAGAGGAAATTTATTAAAAATCAATTTAAAGACTTATAATAGAGGTATTTAAATGATTAGAATATTCCTGAACTTGATAAAGCTTTAACAAAAGAAACATTTTAGCATTTGAAGAGGTTATAATTATACTCCATTCAGATAATTTTTCAATCCAGATGAATTCTTTTCGAGGAAATAATAAGAGATGTATTCGAAGATTTTTAGAATTCTGGAATTGATTATTCTACGCATAGAATTATAGAAAATTAACTTTGTTGGCTTGTGAATACTAAAATTTGCTAAGAAAATAATTTATAATTTACATTCTTCCCAAAAATTAAAAAAAAAAAACTTATCTAAGTTATCGAACGTAGAACAAGGAAATCAATAATTGAACTTGTAAAAAGAGAAAGAAAATTAAAAAACATAAATTGTTTTTATTAAATTTTAGCATTTTATCGGATAAAATATTGCCAAAAATAATTCATGAAATTTCATTCCGATAATTATCCATCGAAATGTAGATCAAGCGAAAAGAACGAATATCCTCGAAAATTGTACCGCTAACGATTTACGAAAAATTCATTTCCATTGAATTACGATCGAAATTGGAGACCGTACCGTGCCAAATCGCTATCGACCACTCATTAATTTCGCAACAAGTAAAAAATCAGAGGCTTGCCAGATATACGTATGCATTATTGTAGAATTTATCGAGCCAAGCACGATACCACGATCATGTACATAGTGAAACGCCAAAGATTTTATATATATACACACACATGTTTTACAAAAATTGTAATCGAGATTGGTCCGATAATTTAGACCTTGTTAAACATCGAAACTTGTGCCAAATTAATAATAAAATCGATTGGCGATGCGATAATTTCCACGAAAATAGTTTCGAAACGTTGAAAATCAGAATGAAATGTAATACTCTGCTACATACAATATTTTATACGTATTAATGTAATTTCGTATTACATTGATAAATGGATATCTATCATACATATGCGCGAATGATTTGAATTTGAATATATGAAGAACGATACATAACGATATATCTGTACAAAACAAAATTACATTTATATATATATATATAAAATAATTTATATAACAGAGCATTACGTTTTATATTATATATATATCTTATTTTTTGTACAGTATCGGGAATCTTTTATCGTTGAAATTCTTGCAAAATATAAGAGAAATATATATATATAATAGTGGAAACCTTTTTCAATATAACTGAAACATTTGGATTTGCGGATTACTTTTTCTATAGTAGTTGTTTAATGTTTTGTCTGAATTTGTTCCGTCAGAATTTTGTTATCCATCCGGAAATGGAGGATTTAGTGATAATACAAAGAAATCGAAGTGACATTTAAATTTTTTTCTAGTTTAAAAAACAAAACAGATATCGAATAGAAATACAAGGAATAAATTTTTCATAATTTTACAATAATAAAAAAAAATTGATCAATATTAAACGTGTTAAAAAATATATAAATAATACATTTTTCACACAGTAAGCATGAAATTTCAAATTTTGAGAATGTCATTTTTATATCTAAAAACTCTAATAATTTTTCACGAGCACTAATTCCAAAAAAAAAAAATAAATAAATAAATAATAAAAAAAATTGTGATTTGTGTATGTGAAGTATATGAAAACTATAATTATTTAGAATTCTCGTTCATAATTCTGAAACAGCTTTTTTTTTTCACATAAATTGTCTAACCTGCATCATCAATTTCACTATTTCTCGAACATTCACCCATACACGAATACATCGTTTTATAACATCGATACTATATAAAGTAAGAATATGTACAAACTACACTTGCGCTTTTAAAACTAGCTAGACTATGTACGGAATTTCTGGGATGAAACTAAAACCTTATTATTAAAGTATTCAAGGAATTTTCAAGACAGAGTCACCTAACTTCAAGCGAGACAAATTTTCGCGCGACCGGAATACTCAATGAGAAAAGGATAGAGAAGAATGAACTTTCAAATTGGAAACTTCATAAAACAACTGACTTTGCTCTAAACGAAATTTATCGTGATGAAAAAAGGAAATTTATCTTAATCTTTGTTCTACATTCTAAACAAAATTTAGACGCCTCGCTTATTTCTTATAAAAACTATTTGATAAACTATTTAAGCATGTTTAAAAATTTTTAAGATAAAATAACATAGACAAAATCGTAAATTTAAATGTTTCTTTTTGAATTTTTCATTTATTAAAAAAAAAAAAAAGATTGGAAAGATTTTGATTGAATTTTAAAATAAAAATTAATATTATACAATATTACACAATCGTCACGATAATTGCTTATCTTTTATTACTAAAAATTTGAAAAAAGTATGAACTAAACACTTGTCGTTTAAAAAAATCTTAAGTTTTTTTTCGAATAAAGTTAAAATTTCAATCCAAAAAAACATCAAATTAAATTCAAATTGATTATACATTCATAAATATATACAATCTATAAGATTTAAATATTACTAAAACAAATATATATATATATATATTATTGAATCTGCATGCAATTAAATTTTATTTTACCATTACTGTTAATTCGTTCGATTCCCATAATAAGAAGGAAATCCATGCTACATATATATACATCACTATACGATCCATAAGAGATGACAAAAGAAAAACACTTAATACGATCAATTCATTTTCCTATCATCTCTCCCGATATAAATTTATATTTGTATCCTGATGCACAACCACACTCGATATAATTTAATGCTCAGATCAGAAATAAATAGAAACACTGTCACGGTATTTGAAGTCGTAACGCGTGAAAAATTTTAACGAGCAATGGAAATGAAAACCACTCTTTCGCCCGAAACATTTTTATAATTAGATTATGAACAATGAAAAAAAAACCGCTACATTTAAAGAACAATTCTAACATTTCCCTCGAAAAAAAAAATGAACTTGCACAGAGGACGCACGGAACCGTGTAACGGAAAAAATGACGCGCATACCGAAGCTTGAAATATTTTTCCTTTATTTTTTCTCGATCCAATATAAGGACATCCAATACACGGCGTAACAAATTGTTGGCAGGGAGGCTTCTCGATAAAAAGGATATTTCATCGAGTCCGCGCATCGATGAAACATCGAACGGTTTCCGGAGGGTGGAGAGCGTAGGCGTTTAAATCGAAACGATTCAAGGGGAAACACACAAATTCCGCAAGCATTCTTTGCAACTGTTCGAGCAATCCCCAAAGGATTATCGATTATACCGATAGCAAAAGCCGATAAGACGGAGCTAAGACACTGGAGTGAAGGAATTTTAACATGCGAGACGATTGCGCCAAGTCGATTCGAGAATATACTAAATGTTCAGAAAAATTTTCCAAGAATGGAAACGAAAAAAAGTTTACGTACGCGCAAGTCTCGTTTGATCAACAAGCATTTTAACAAATTCCCATTAGACGAGAAAGCGAGACAGAAATAAAACGAGACTGCTGTATTAACACGTATATTTTTCATCGTTTTGATGTCTCGAATCTATCGTTCGAAAGGTGCTCCATATTTTTATAAATATCGGCGTGTATCTACCCTTTCAGATCACGGATACCGAGTTTTCATCGAGGCCCTGTTTTCTTAACAGCTGAGTCAGACAACCTGTCCACGATACGAGATTCAACGTCGTTCAACGGAGACGTGTAGGGGTCGGCCGGGGGCAAAGATCGTGCGATAGGGAAGGAGAGCCACTTCTGGGCTGGCAAGATGAACCGATTATGACGGTGGAATGGGACACGAAGTGAAATACGGTGGCAATCGGAGGAATCTACCGCACCGATCGGGGAACGGTGGTTAAGTTATCCGGGGGAACCCGCGAAATTATTGGTTTTCGGTCAATCAAGACTAAATTCATTAGCGCTCACAGCGCGCCGCTTAACGAAATATCGATAGGTTTATTTCGTGGCAGGATGCGAGTAGGTAATTTTATTCTGGGACAGATTATATTCGTGCAATCTCGTTAACGAATCGAATATTCTCTAAAAGAACGAATCGTTATAAAGTATTTTGACAATACTGTTCTTGTTGATTAAAATATCCGAAGTTTTGACTTTCTACGAAATATAAATATATATGTTTTATAATTTCGATTAAATAGAACTTGCGTATATTGCGATCGTATCGTGGAAAATAGAAAAATAGCGAAGATTTTCATTTTAAGTAAACGAAATATGAAACAATCATTCCAGCATTAAGACGTTTATAGAATAAAATGAAGTTAGAAGAAATTAAGATGAATAAAATTTTGAAGAGATATTGGGATATATTATATAATCGGTTATCTGTAATTAATTATTTAATAATCGAGGAATATCTTGTGAAACAATAAAAAAAAAATTTTTTTATAACAAAGTTTTCTCGACGCATTTAATAGAGAAATTAGCAAGAGACTTCGTCGACATAAGGGTCTTTCGAAAATTCTGTCGAGATCCTAAAATACCACCGTGGTGCATTAACGTGTCCCCTGCCTAATCATCCGCTTCTGTTTTCATCCGGACCAGCCAATATTTACGTCATCCTACTGTGCAAAGCGATACTCGAGAATATTACAGTCCAACATCACTCTTTTGTATCCATTGGTTAAGCTTACATAAGAAGCGTATACTCTATTCACGGCGAAGACATTCGACGGCTTTTTCCACGCGGTGACCGCCCGCGAGATCAACGCCCTCCAACACCACACGAGATTCTTTCACACGCGCACGAAACGCGATCCACCTTTTCATAGACTCGAAAGATCTGACCGATACGTCCAATGCTTCCCTCTATTTTATCCCAGACCAGATTGAAACAGTCAGATATCCCGCGAAAAGAGGTATTTGCAGATACTTCTCGAAATTAGATATACCCACGTGAAATAGACATATCATCACAGAAATGCATTCGCAGCAAACACCAAAATCTCTGAAACGAATTCCTGATTCCTTATTATACATACGTAATTGTACATAATACTAAAAATATCAAATCGCAAACAATTGCAAATTCAAATTTCTAATTTCTTATTTATCTATGTCTTTTAAATTAATCGCCCGTAATTTAACGAATGTAATTCAATTCGTTTCGTTTCATTGAATGGAAACAGGAACAGCAATGATAATCGCAATTATCTAAATCGAACTCGATATATAAGAAATAAATTCTTCATCTAAGCAAATCTAAATAAATTATCCCGCTTCTCAATTGTTGTTTTTCAACTAATTAACAAACTACTTAGCCCAAGGAAACAATTTACACGAAGAAGAATAATTGGCACAGTGGAGCAGCATCGTCGAGCTCGATCGGGCCACCACCAGCCTGCAACCCAGCGGTTCGAGCTCGAGATGGACAACTCGTGAATGACCGGGAAAAGCGGGTAATGGAAAGGTAACGTGGGTCAATGGGATATATCCCTCTCCCGTAGATGGATCTCCTCTCGTGTCGCAAGTAAAAGCATACCGAATCACGAAACTCCGGTCGAACAACACACTTCCATCTGTGAGACACGCCGTGTCTCGATCACCAACCGATAAAGCACAATATTGGGACGGCAGGTGGAAATACGTCACGCTCGCGAGAGGTCGTGTCGAGCTCGAACTGCCGGCTGTTTACAGCCACATCCCGAGAAAACGTTCCGTCGAGGAACGATCGGTCCGTTACGGATGTTTCGCGGCACGTTTCGCCAGGTGGAGATGCACACAACTGTGCACCGGGTCGTACGCCAACTGTCACCGAGCCGTGATCATCCCCACGTGTTCTCAACAACACGATCGAGCCCAGGGGACGCTTGGTCGTGGACGAAAGCCGCGAAAAGGGGAACGCGTCGCTCGCGATCTACGTTCTGCGACATACTAGCTTTCGTAGCTTGACGCCCACCACCCTCGGCCGGCAACGCTCCCCTTCCTCCCCACGAGCCACCCCCACCCTCACCTCAGCTCTTGCCCTAGCTCCGTCTCTCACCCTCCTGGTCTACTAACGGCGCGACACGACCCCGCGTCGAGGAACCGACGTTTTCGCAGTACCGCCAACGCCACCAGCTGCCGATTGGCCTGGAAGAACAGTCTCGACCCTATCGTTCTCTTCGTGACACCGAAATATGTAACGTGAATCAATCGTGGCCGAAGGATACTTGAAGGATACTTTTTTTACGAGTGTCATGTTGGATGGGGTCAGGTAGCAGAGGAATTTGACTTTTGAGAGAAAATTATAGAGAAATATAGAGAGAGAAAGAGGAAGGAATTGTTATAATGATTTAAAGAGAAAGATAAGAAATGCATATTGTATATAATGTACGTGGATCTAAACTTGAGTTAGAAAAATACAAATATTGTGAAAAAAATAGTTGTATTTGTAGAAGAGAAATGTACAGAATGTATTTTGGAAGGAAATTTTCCAGTTCTTTGTTCCAAAAATAGAATAGAAAAAGTAGCAACCTCTGCCAACAATTGTGAATTGGTTTGGAGAGTGTGGACCATCGTTCTCGTGCTACTGAAAGATGTAACATGAATCAATCGTGACCCAACTTTAAGAGTACTTTTTACGCCCACGTTTCGACATTATACTTCAAGTATCATATTGGAAATGTATGTATTGTACATGGATATTGTATAGAGACGAGAAAAGGTTAGGCAAAATCATTATGAACTATAGTGTAAGACACTTCTGCTCACAGCTATTTTTATTATTGGTTGAGTCGATGATATATACAGGTACCACATGGCAGAAAGTGAGATAATGTAGAATAGAATTACAAGTTGAAAAATATTTATATGCTATTCTATCTCAAATACTGATTTTCAATTAAAAAGAATTAGAGACTTTTGCTTTTATTATTGAAAAATTTGATTTTTCAAAGAAGATTGAAATAATCAATATAATATTATCATTTGGATATTGATAAGCAAATTCTTAGAATCTAATATGATACTTTTCTTCATTAAAAGTGATATGAGATTCTACACTTAAAGGGAGATTGGAAATTCTTTGCATAGAAGATATATTTATATTTGACACTGATGAAATATTCATTCTATTACTTTAAAATATATTTTGGAACTAAATTTTCTAATCTTTTCTTCAAAAAACTAGTAAACTAGAAAAACTTGAATATTAATGATTTCAAAAATAAAAAATGAACAATTTTTTATATTTTCAAATATTGAAGATAAAGCATATACTGTACGATACGATTTAATCTTTAACTTTTTTTACAAATAAATTTAGATACGTAATTTCGACAAATTACATACAATTATAGCTTTTATATATAAATAACTCGAAGAATTGTATTAATAAAATTTATTCCGTCTAATAAACGTATAATAGTTTAACCGTGCTAATATGAAATCGAACGTGATTGATCTTTTCTACTTTGATTGAAGTTTGTAGTTGACCTCGATGCATACTAACGAACTAATACATTGAAACGTTAAAAAATAGTAGGAATCAAAACGTACAAGGGAAAATATAACAGGAGCTAATTGATCGATCCTCGATCTTTTTGAATCTTTATCTATATGTATAAACCATTTGAATAGAGAGTATGTGTACACAAGTTCGAAATAGCCAATCACAGTTGTCCTACTAAATAGACGAGCAACAAATTGCTTCGATATATCACGATGTTCGTTTTAAAAGGTAGAAACTCGTATCGTTTCATTTTAATAAAAATTTTTTAAATTAAACTGATGATAAAAACATCAGGGAATAATAAAAGGGAAAGTTTATTATCGTAAACTAAATTAAATTATTCCAGTAGTGAATGAAATATTTGTTCATTTAAATTGATTAAACGAGATGTTGCATAATAAATATTAATATATTTACAACATGGTTAAAAATCTTGTAAAAAAAAAAAAGCCAATCGATTTTTATCTTTTCCAGAAAAATAAAAAAATATTTAATATCTAAATTTTTCTCAATAAATATATTTTTTCTTTAAGGAGATATTCATTACAATTGTTATATTAAAAAAGAAAAACTATTTATATCTAATAATTGAAATTAAACAAAGATTGTTTTTATCATGTATCCTTAAACAATTAAACAAAAAAATAATAAATTCTTTCATAAAATATCTCATGTAGTTCGTTAATTTTATAACCAACCGTATATATATAATTTCTATTCATTAATATTTCTATGTACAATTTATTACAACATAATTATTTAAAGTTATATTTAAACAATATAACTTATTTAAATGTATTTAAAAACATTACCCAGAAAAGACAAAATCAATTCACAAATATTTCAGAGCTCAACTCGACCACAATGGATATGACCCACTATTTTAACAATCTTAATTATTTAATCGATACATCTATAAATATTTACCTAACCAATAAGCTATACATTCGTTACGATAATAAACTGCATGTCGCATTCGTAGTTATTTCGATGGCTAGACAACCGAAGGATCGGAATACCTAACCACCTGTTCTATATCTGTTATCCTGTCACTCCATACCATCTCGAACTCGATTTAATATTAAAAACGGGAATATTTATACGCCACTGTTTACCGAAATATACGCTTTAAATCCGTAATATCGCAATGTTCGTTTCCTTCGAACGAACAGCCAGCAAACAAGAAACCAGGATTTACATTTCTTACCAAACTTCTCTACCATTCTCTGTCTGAACAGTCTTGGATGCGATTGATCGATTGTAAACACTATTGAACATTCAGATCACGTCTGATGCAACAGTTTAGAAAGCTGTTGACAAACATTTTCTTTGAAGTATTGCTTCTAAAACGAGACCTATGCCAGTGAGTCGGTGAACCTATTCGATGATGCAACATTAACTCCTCTTTATCCAAGAATGAGATATCTCGCGTGCAAATACCTATTCTGACGATATTTCTGAGGATTCTTTATGCATGTATATACATATGTACATATAGTTCACATGACGCTTTGAAAGACGCTATCTCGTGTATCCTTTTTTCAAAACTGGATGCTATATTACTTTTGGATGGATTCTATTTTTGTATTCAAAGGAAAAAAATTTTGTTTTGGAAATATAATGTTTAGAATATTTGTTATAATATATTTGTATTAAAAATATATTACATATATATAATATTGATAATAATTAATAATTTGTATGCACGAATTAGATATTTTTTATATAATCTATTTATAATTTAACTATGTATTTTCTATTCTTTCAATGAAAAGTAAATACATTTCGTATGAGCCTTTTTCTTGTCTTGCTTTTCAAAATTTTCAATCAAATTGTTATTTCAAATAATAGAGTAAAAGAAATTAAAAATATAATATATTTTAGCATCGATAATTAATTTATATCAGTCAATGAAATATTTTGCGTATAAATTAATGCATAGAATTTTAATCTTTCAAAAAAAATTGTGTTGGGAATCAATACACTTGATATGAGATATCTTATATTTTTCTCTATTTTTCCATGCCTATTTTTCGTATGTCAATAAAAAAAATATAAAAATTGAAGGATTTGTAATTAAAATGTCATATACACTATATATACACATGCATATACGTATCAAAAGTATCGAATTGTATTCTTTTATTGAAAATATAATTTTCTATGAGATACATCGAATATATAATTAAATACTTTTATGGCCAACTATATCTAGATTGAATGAAATCACGAATTTGAAATCAACATAATTAAAATTTGTTATAAATCGTTTTCACTATGAAAATTTATTTCAAGCCTCCCTTAATTTCTATTTCTGTATTCTGATTTTACAAAGGAAAAATAATTATTTCGAATAAAAAAAAACAAAATATAGAGATATCGCTCAAATATAAAGATAAAAAATAATTTTAAAAAATAAATAATATATTTCGTAAAAATATATCCAATATAAACGAAAAGCTCTAAAATATTAAAACGAGTACAATAAAAAAAAATTTGATAATACGAAAACGACCAACAAACTCTCGCATAAAGTGAATCCTTTTTTTAGTACGACAGATATATGAAACTCGGGTTCGTTTCCATGTTAGCGAAATCACATTGAAACTCGTATCGCGACTCTTGAACGCTTGAACGCTAGTTGTACTTTATCATTTCTAGAACTGTAGTTTCACTCTGGACATTTTGAAACTCTAACAGAGCGTTAATACGACGCTGGCAAAGGTCCATTATTCGTATCTTTTAACATGCAGAGTACTTCTTAAAAATCTTGAGTCCAAACATGTTGAATATTTTTTAAACTACAAAAGCTTCGCTTACTCTCATTTCTAGATATAATAAAATTTTTAAAAAATTTTCACTTCGTGTGATATTATATTAATTTTAAATTCATAATTATTTTATATAAAATAAAAAATATTAGTTATTTAAATTTTGAATTAAAATTATAGAAAAATACACACAAGCCAAAAAAATCTTCAGTTTACTCTGCATGTTATATTGTATTAAGCTAATTTGCTTAAAATTTGCATTTTATATAATATTCTACCTGAGAATAATTAATTTTGATAATCTTTTCTTACTATAAAAATATTAAAATTTAGAATTTTGATTTTAAACGATAGATACATAATTGATATATAATTGTATGTAATTTCAATTTTCTTTTTCATTTATACGTTTTTGAAGAGAGAATAAGTTTTTTTTATCTAATTATTGATTAAGCCTTAAAATCAATTAATATCATCAAAATAAAACTAATGAATCTTTCCTATTATGAATTATAGTCTATTATCATACGCAAAATTTCTCCAACAAATTGAAACGCCAACATGAGAGGCAAATGGTACGTTTTTATAACTCTAATCAAGCCAGAATCAGACAACGTAATTTTTCAAAAAAAAACAAGACGTGGAACAATGAATGTCTAGCAATCAGCCTGAATGGAAAAAATTAATAAGTCAGCACTCGGGATGGGCACGCAAATCCATTCGCGCATCAGAACCCGTCCTTTTCACGGTAACATCATCCTATCGTTCTTTTAGTCCGGCCCTATTTGTCTTTTCTTCCTTCTTTCTCCATATTTGTCCTGCTCTTTCCTGCAATCTTTCTCCCCTCTTTAAGTGTTCCTCACGCTACAGCTACGGGATTTTTAAATGAGAATTTTAACGATCGACCTACATTTCTGTGCCCTATTTACGGTGTATCGCAGGCAATGTCAAACACCGCGGTAAATACACTACCACCAGCGACGAGTGCCACGGCAGAAAAGAGGGAACGATATAATTGCGAGTACGTCGCGAGACCCCTTCGCATTGACACCTTCAAAAACGCGAGACTAGGGAAGAAAGGGAACGGTATTGTAACGATTACCAATTCGTCGACCTATTTTCCACGTGTTTTCGCAATCATACGATCTTTTTGTGCCAGTGTGCACAGTGTGCTTTGTTTCAATTTCGAAATGAAAATATGTGTCTGAAGATCGTGATCACTAGAAGAATGTGTCGTTTGATTTTAATCAATTTTCGAAGGAATGTATTAATTTCTTAATTCATTCATAAAACGATTTTGTCTTTATAATAAATTGTATAGCGTATTTTGTTTGAATTTTGAAATGAAAACAGGTGCTTGAAGATTGTGATCACATGAAAGATATTTTACGTAGTTAGACAAATTTCGAGGGGAGGATATATTGTAAGTACAAATTGATTCCATAGCAATGATTGTATTAATCAATCAACGTGTTAAAAAATTTTGTAAATCTCATAACTGAATTTTATATTGTAAATATAATATAGTAAATATTGCATTATAATGAAATTTTATACAATATTAAATAGTGAACAATTCTGAATGTTTGAAATTAATTTACATATTGTAGATTTAATATGTTTTAACATTTTAATTTAACATAAGAAGCAAACATGGCAATATCTAGAAATATTTTCATTTCGAATAAAATTTTACTAAATACAATATATCCTTTATTCTCAATGTTTCCAAAGAAAGAATTCATTTGGAATGAAAGTCAAAATTTTTCTCTATAATATATATAACTAATGCGAAATACGATTAATAAATAAGAAATAATAATTATATAAAATCAAAATATCGTATTTTTAATTCTATAAAAAAAAAGAGAACTGTAAAGAGAAATTTTTGATATTAATATTGATAATATTGATAATACTTTTTCTATAAAATTCAGTTCATAATTTGATAAAAAATGGTACCATATATACCAATAAAAATTATTTAATTTTTTTAAATAAATTTTTTTACTATTACATTACACAATCTTCAAGTACTTTTCTCTAACTATAGATAAAAGTAATTTTATCTCGATAAAATGATTTGTTTTTATAATTATTAAAAGTATAAATATATTATTAAAATTAATTTTCTAAATTATATCTTTCGTGTTTTAAGATTTTTCATTTGATTTAATTTAATTACTCCATAATTTCTAATATATACCTAAATACTTATAATACATTCCTTCAAATTTCGTTTGTATCCTTATTTTATTATTTGTAACTTATATAATAACTATATTAATCATAGAATAATAGTATTACTTAGCAATATAGTATATACTAACTATATAGTAATAATTATATAATATAATATTACATAATTTTATATAATATTACTTATGCTATATTATTTTACTATATCATTAATATATACATATATGTTGCTAAAAGAAATTTTAATCATATAATAGTTTCAAATCTTTGGTTCATAACCACAATATTATATAACAATATGGTTTTATAAGTTTTATATGTTATATTCATTTCGCGCCAAAATCGTATAATAGCATTTAAATAAATTACTTGAAGACTTACCCTCATGTGTGGCTGGACCAAAAGTTCATGGAGCTCTCGAAGATCCGCCCTATCGATGTTTCGTATTGCTGAATGCTCTATTTCTCGAAGAAGTTCTTCGACCTCTCGCGCACGCTGAACTGCGTCCGTCTGTGGCGCTCGACATGGCGTTGGAACTCGAGTCGAAATCCTATCGTAAAGCTGAATAAGAACAACTACGTTAATCCTTGTATTGAATTTCCACGATTAAAACTATAAAGATATTTCAAATTCACTAAATTCAATAGTTTTGATTATGTATTCATATCAATATACTCTTTTGTATATTGTGTGTGAAAAATATATGTGACAACTTCATTTCGTATATTTTGTAATACAGTTTCCATTCGTATATAAATTATAGTAGTTAATAATTATTAATTAAGGTTAAAATACTTACATAGATAACTTAAACACAATAATACTAAAACAAATTCGAAATCAGTTTCATCCAAATGGTTGAATAAACTTGAAATAAATTATATAATTTCCATACATCCGTTTATTAAGCTTATCAGCCATGTACTAATCGTATTCGCGGGAAAACAGGTTAGTTCATCATGAAGCCTTCAGATGTCCTATCACGTCGCGGTGCAGCGAAAGATCATGTGTGATGAATGGAACGATGGTATTGTTTACATTACCGACGAAAGAAAAAGACAAAATCAACGACGAGATAATTATCCACATTTTGTTTGAAATCGATTTACTTACCAAGAGATAGGCAATTTCGAGGAGATCACCGGCCAATTCAACTTCACCGATGAACATTAATTGACAAAACCGCATCTTTTTGTTTACGATATTCCTAATTCTAACAAATAAGTTATTGCTCTCATATGTCTTTATATAACGAGATAATATACATACACATCTATCTAATGGAAAATGAATTGTGACGATTTTGCAATCCTGTATAGCATTTTGTTTATCAGACCAGCACGTCAGCCATCTTGATAATCAAGGATCAAGCGCTTGCGCCCTATTCCCGAATAAAATGAGGGCGCGTACCTCTTCCCTCGGGATATAATCATGATAAGGGGTTGAAACAGTGGAGCATGGAATGACCTTGAAACTAATAGAAATCAACAGTGGCGCCACGAATAAGAAGAACTTTACCGTATATCGGTAAGGTAAATGAACTGATGATGATAATTAAATGATAAGTATAATAAAAATTGAAATAATTCTAAGAAAAAGAAATTAATAAAAACTATATATCGTTAATCGAACAACACGAATTAAATCTCGTTAATATCTAATCTAATCTAGTAATCAATTTCAAACGAATTATCATTATTTTCGTTATATTATCGATATACAGGAAGTAAGCAGATAAGATAGAGATCTATATGACGAAGATGCATATTAGAAACTTGTCTGTTTGCCTAAATTTTGTAATTATAATTATTTTATAAATTTTTGATACTATATATATATTTGAATTTGTATAATTAACATATTCAAAGAAATGGAAACTGTATTTCAGAATTAAGAGATATGAAATACATCGATACGAAATTTAGAATTGCTTTATATCTCAAACATAATCATACCTCTAAAATAGCTCGAAGACGATAATCATCAACTGCATTAAGTATCTCAGCACGCGTCAGTCTTCCACTCTCTTGAAGTACTTCAATATCATCGAGAGAGTCTATAATTTCAGCTACAGCACCTGAAAAATAAATATAATTTTAGAATATATTCTATAATAATAAATATAATTAAAAAAATAATCAAGTTTGCAATTAATCAATCGTTTAATTATTATTGGAATTAAGTAATCATGATTTAATAATTAATTGATTCCATAAATTGTTTATAATAGATTAAAAGTAAATAGATTAGAAGTAATATAAAATACTAATAAAATATAATAAAAATATAATAAAATGAAAATACTAAAAAACTTATATAATAGCACTTACTTTTTTGATTTATATAGTTTTATTTGAAAATCAAATTCTAAATTACGTTTTATCCTTTATTTATAATTATGCTACACAGTATACATAGATATTACAAATATTCATACCTGTGGTTATAACTTCATCATCTCCTATATCGAAAAAGCTGTCACCGTTAATTTCCGAATACGGGATGTGCCATTTGGAGGACGAAATCGCCGCTTTCACAGCATCTTTCAATTTTCGTCTCGCATTGAATTTCTTAAGCTCTTCTATAGTTTCAGCTAAATGTATTCGGGCCACACCCTTATCACGATCCTAAAAAAATAATTTATTTAAGAATTATGTAATATTAATATTTTCATTAAATTACAAACGATAATATTATAAATATATCCATATATGATAATAATCATCCAGAGAAAATAACTATTAAAATTAGAGCATCGAATGTAATTATTTCTCATTAACTTCAGATCTCATAAACATATAAAATTCTCGTGTTCAAACTATCACCACATCATACAATATTTTCTATTTAATTAACATATTATCAATTAATTGAAAAATATATATCAAATAAAAAGAGATTAATATTCGTTTAATTAAAATAAAATGCAATTATTTTTCACTAACTTCAATGATTATAAGTATATAAATTTTCATGTATTTAACAATAAATTATAATCTTCTGAAAAATTTAATCGACAAATATATCTATTTAAAAAGAAATTAATATTCCTTGTGTAAAGTGAAATAAACGAATAATACGAACGAATGGATTTGTATTTGTACCAACAACCGAACGATCTATACGCTCGAACAAAAAGAAGTGTCCAATATTTGTTTCGAAAAAATCTATGGGGAAATTTCTTGTTAAAAGAAAAAGGGACGATAATTACGCCCGTTTTCTATGAAGTTCTTAGAACTTGAGCGAGTGTGCAGTCACGTTCAAAAAACTGTAACTGGCACAGAGAAAAATATACACCGCTACAGTTATTTTCATTAACCGGTGGAACTTTGCCCCTGCTATAGCGATCGATAGCCCAGTTGCACGTGTATTGCATCGATATATGGGGTGACTCCAAGCTTCGCTACCTTAGGTCACTGGCTAACTGTCGTGTCATATAGGTATATTCTTACTTTATTACACCATATGCCGTGCACATGCGCAACGTACATTCACCGGATATAATAACAGAAAATGAGGCCGTTTATCGAAAAGCTGATACGATATAAAAAGAAGGCAGATACGCTCGGAGCATCTATTAAATAGAAATTGTTAACACGAATACACGTGTTCTCGGGAATAATCGTTCGTACTTCATAGTTACATTTTCGCGAAATAAAAGTTTCGTTACTTCAATCATTTTTTACATTTTTTTGTACACGAAAATTATTTCCTCTCCTGAAAAACAATCCTCAACTTTTTACAATGTTTTTTCTTTTCGAAAAATAAATCGAGATGAAAAGCTTTCCGAATTTTTGTTAATTCTCCCTCTATAAACATATTGATTTCACTTTCAAACTCATGCTCGAAAACTTTTACATACTATTCAAGTATCAAGAAACGTCAACAATCAACATACTTTTTAATAATCAATGTAGTCTTTCGAACATGACTAAACATGAAAAAAAAAAAAATCCTCCCATTGCTTCTGATTCAATCAAACCTAACTTACTCTAAGCCATTTGTGGTTCAGCACTTCTTGTATGGTAATCCTATGATTTACATCCGTTGTGAGCATTCTTTGTATGAGATCCTTCGCTGGTTCACTAATATTGTCCCACAATGGTGTCTCCATCTGCAAGTTTTACGATTATCTCATGAACAGTTTCATTGTTGGCGCACAATATCGTGTGAAATGTTATATTAATGTATGTAAAAATACAATCGTCATCTTTCTTCCTTTCGCAAAAGAAAGTATTACGTTTAATCAATTTCTACCTGTACTCGTCCTCTGCAAATTGCATCTCGCAGTCTATCTCGAGAGCCGACGAATGGAAGTGTACCGGTTAATAGGACATGAAGTAGTACTCCGGCTGACCAGACGTCACCAGGCTTCCCGTACTGTCTCCGCTGGATCACTTCCGGCGCCATGAAGTGTGGACACCCAACACGACCTGCACGATCGAGAATATCTTTAGAACCATGTAAAACACGGCATATTCGGCATGATGGAAGCGAGCTGTGTGAGCAGTGATTGCTTCGAAAGTTCGCAGTCGATCGTTACACGTTTCGTGAAAACTTTCATACCCGGGTCGAAACTTCGTCGTTAAGTGCCAAATTGAAAGTTTGATCCATATAAGCAACATTCTCCCCTCGAAACACAAGTACTCGAATAAGTTTTTTGCTATCGCGATTTCTTGACGAAATTTTCTTTTTCGCGATCGATCGAGGCAAGGATCGATGGCTGGGTGACTTTTGACTCGGTAGACTTTATTAATTAATCCTCCGGATGACAACTTTGTTCCGGATTAATTTTTTTATCGTTCTAAACTTTGAGGTTTTCTCCTAAAAACCTTTGAAAGAATTCCAAGTCTCTAATTTAAAATTTAAAATTTTTCAACGCGGACTTACTTCGCAGAAATTTACACAACGAAATTTTCTCTTGATCCTTGAGCAAGTGAGATCCTACACAAAGGATTAGATAAAGATTTAGGAGATTTAAAGCTTTTTCTAGAATGAAGAGGAAATTTAACAATGGAATTCCCTTTCAATTCTTAACAATTCAAATCAGATAATATAAATAAAGACAAAGACTTAGATAGACTTTGGATTTAATAATGAGTTTCGATCCAGCCATCGTATTTCTGGTATTTTCAACGATCAATATTGATCGTGGATTTTTATTGTAAAAAAATGATAATTTTTTGATAAAACTAACGCGGTTATGGGGGGGAAAAAGTAAGAGAACGAACGAATAAAATGCGGGTAATCTGTATTCCGAATAATTTAAAAGCTTCCGATGAATCTCATCGCGGGGAAGCGTTAACGATCGAAAACTCGATAAACGAAAAGAAAGAGATAGAACCGCTCGTTAACTCGTGAATGCTAGATCGACTGGACCAACTGGATATGTACGTAATGCCAACAGACGAATATGTATTATATTTAAATGCGAAACAAATGAAACATTCGGTGAGAAGAGAATAACGCATTGCCGCATCTAGGCACACTTGTACGAGCACAGTATGCATGTTTTGCAAATTGCAGCGTGCTAATCAAATGTATAAACAACATCTAGCTGAAGGTTGCAAAAACGAGGCAGAAAAGCTGGATAAAAAAAGGATATTGAACAAATGAATTTATAGAAACGTGAACGATAACATATGCGATTGTCAAAGCAAACAAAGCAGAAATAGTAGATACGCGCGGAATGTATTTATTGCAAAAGTTTGTTTAACTATCGTAACGTTTTACATATGTTCAACGAGTGAAACAGAATACCCAATCATCCTGTCTATTCGATTGAAACTCAAAGACATTAAAATTTCATGTTAAGCATGAAAATTTTTCAGCTAATTTAAGTATATCAGTAATAACAAAATCGTAGAATTTGAAAAACATTTCATAATATTATTAATAAATCGTTGATTTTATAATGCTATGTAACAATATTATTTTGAATATCTCTGCTTAATTTAATTTATAATAAGACGTGAAAATGAACAATTTAATTAGTCAATAAAATTCATTTTTTAATTATAATTAAAAAAATGAATCAAAATTTAAAACTAAATAAGATGTAATACGATCCACAAATTTCTAAAATTTTTCAAAAATATGTGCAATAATTTTCTTGCAACAAATATAATTTTTAGTAACTTTAATATCTACAGATAATTAGGTTTCTGTTTCATAATAAAGAATCCTTTGAAAAATAGCAATAGATATACCTGTATAAATATAATACTTTCATTTAAATATAAAAACATGAAAGTAAATACAATTAATTTTTAGATAAGCGAAACATGTATATATAATTAAACATTTAATTTTTATTTGTATAAACTGTACAGAAATATTTGTTTAAAGATAATTTCAATGCTTCGGATATTGTATAAATTTTACATCGAACATCGAATGAATGAACAAATCATAATATACTACTTACAAAACTCCTTTAGTGAAAGATAAATGTTGTTTACGTAAGGGAGTAAAATAAGTAGCAAATTAGCATATATATTAGGTAAAGAAGATTCGGTCCATCTCTCTCGAACTTGCACCAACCAGAATTACATACGAAAATGCACGAAACTAGGTCAAAATTATAATACATGGAGAGAGTGTAAAATACATATAGCGTAAAATATGAAAAAAAAAAGACGTATAAGGGGAATGCATCAAACTACATACATTAACAAGATTACAAAGATGAATCTGTGCAATTCAAAAGATGGAGTTAATAAGACAGAATGTAAAATTTCAAAAAAATGATGCTGAAAAAAATATAATAATATTCGCAATACGTCGATATCAAACATGAATGAACAAATTATGCGAATTGTAAATATAATACGTGTATATATCAAATAATAATGTTTTTTTTATACTACTTTTTTTTAAACTCTGTAAATATTTATAAAGAGAGATAATTATCATTAATAGTGAATTAAATCTATTAACAATAACTGTTCAATAAATGCATTTTATCTTCTTAATTTGTAACATTATGCATAACAAATTGCTTCGTGGATACATGTGGCAAATATGACGAACCACTCACCATAAACCATTTCCACGTGGTCGATGTTGGTGCATTAAACTTTAGCGAATATACGTATATAATAAATGCGAGCAAAAAGGATTGCAAAATTACGCGATCGTAAAGCTATGCAGTAGCTGAACGTGAATTTTTTACCGTTGCTTTTCCATAGGAAATATAGTAGAAAAGAAGAAAAGAAGAAAAGAAAAAGATAGAGCAACGTTTTATTTTAATCCACGCTGAGAGATAGCGGATCGAATAAACAATATAGATAATTCTATTTTGATTTAAATTGATATCGAAATTCAAATCTGATGTATAATTTATAGGATCGTGATTTTATGACATTCGCAAATCTCATCTTTAATCCTCTCTTCCGATCTGCTGGTTGAAATTTTGATCACGAACGAAAGCTGATACGCACCGATCATTTTAACGCATTGCTAGATCCGCTCCATCTGATTCTCACCGTTTGAAAATCTTGAAAACAGTATTGTCACGTACTTGACATTGCTTATTCATTCCTTTTTTTTCCCCTCCTCTTTTTAATTTATTTCAGTTGTTCATTTATCGATTTCGAGAGAAGTTAATTAAAATTTGCTCCCGCCCGTTCGAATTGAGTGGAATAAATCTAGATATGCACATTGATTTCGAAGAGAAATATTTTTCGCAAATACGGATTTATTTTTTATGAAATTTATCTTTTCTCATTTACGTATAGTTTGATGATCGTACGATACAAAAGAGGATTACATTTTAAAATATGTGATACCTAGACAAATAATATTTTCAATAATCTTTAAATGCAAAATCATTATCATGATATATTGCAATGATGTATATATGTGTAAAACACACATTCATGTTTAAACACTTACGTTCGAATGTTCACTTGCATGATATTATTTTTTTTTTTAAAAACAGATGGAAAATATTGATGATGTACGACACCACAGATAACAAACGATAAGACAAACACAAAGGCATACATATATAGGCAGACACATAGAGACAGGCTAGTCTACCGCTACGAACAATGACGACACAAACAAGCCCAACAATCGGGCAATTTCTGAACGCAATCAGACTAAACAAGAAAAACATTGAAGAGTTTATTACGTATCAAAAGGAGTGACGATTAAAAATTATTTTAAAAATCAAATTCAAAATTTCTTCATCCTTTTATGAATACACGCCATTCAATACGATACTTACTCATAACGAGCAAAAAAAAGTTTTACATATATTAATTAATTTTTATAATCTTCTTTTCTTTCTTCTTTAATCGTCAAAAAAAAACCCTTACTGATTATTGACACTATTTTTAATTATAAAAATGGACAAGAAAAATCGTAATGAACCCTTCAATCATAGAATTCCCTATAACGATGAAGCAGAAGTTGACTCATACTCTACAAAACGGGGGACACGTCGACGTAGGGGGAACAAACCAAGGTAACGAGAACAGAAACAAAGAAACAAGAGAAAATAAAAAATATATAAATGGGCCTTTCTGTCTTGTTCTCGAGATATTAGGCAGCTCGACGACACAACGTGTATTTGTCACTACGCGGGCCTGCACAACGATTTTACAGGAACAAACTACCGCACGTAGGTCAAGTGGAGTGTCTACGCAGACACTACGTGTTGTTCTGAAGCTGACATAATCGAACGACACGCGGGGGTAGAACGAATATGCGTGCCATCGAAAACCAGGAACGATTTTAATCGATCCCCTTTTAGTTGTAACGATATGACATCGTCACAAGAGAAATCGAACCAATCTTTTGAAACCCATCGAGAGGGTGTGTGCGCAGGTGTTAGTATTCGAACGAACGATTCGATATAGACGAGAATATTTCGAAGGAGAATTTCGAAAGGTTTTTTTCTTTTTTTTTTTCATTCGTTTTTCGTCGTTTCTACCCCCGGTTCTCGTTATTATGCGGATGTGACAGGCATACGAATACCGATATTGTCCTCCGTATCGCTCACTAGCGAATCCTCGGCGTCGGTCAGGTCCTCGAAAGGGAAATTGCAGCTCGGAGACGTCAACCCTATCGAAAGAACACAGACAAATAGGACAAGGATCGTTATCGGCGGAGTAATTTTCGGGTTGTGTGGCGTCCGCCATCATCGCGACGATAAGAGGAGGAGCTTATCGTCATCGCCGTTATTCGTAGAGGAAGACAGACCTGTGTTTGTGTCATTGTATCGAAGAATCGAGTTTGGTACGGGTCAGAGCATCGAGTCGTGGAAAACGGATTTTTCTAAACCATTCCTTTTTTTGGCATAGTTGCGTCTTTATCCGGCCAATTGAATGTTAACCTCGTTGACTCGTTTGGTCCTTGCGGATAAAAAGGGGTGCTGCTTTCTTTAGTTAGTTATTATTGGCAATAAATTTGCCATTCCATCCGTTTGCTTTCGAAAGACTTCCTTTGGATACTGTGGTGTCTTGTTATATGTATATATATATTGTATATATATACATTTATGTATATAAAAATAAAATGGGTCATTGTATTGTAATTGCTATTAAAAAATTGATCGCGAAATTTGAATGAAAATATGGATGTATAAATGGTACAGAGATGGAATCTACGATACATTGAGAACATTGATAAATGGAGTCAAGTTAAATTCAAGTGCATTGTAACAAAGAAATTGAAAATAGAATGTAGAGTATAATTTTTAGATACGAAACTTAGTTTTTAAAAATGTGAATCAAAAATGGAATCTTCCTTTTCCTTTTATATTGAATTAGCTTATTTTTTATTTTTCATTTACTTTGATTTTTAACGAAAAATTTTCTGGGCTTATGATATTCTAATTCTCTAAAATGATTTTCTTTTTCCGAAATTCTAATTCTTTCCCGTTTCTCTACATACAGAATTTGATCAGAATTTTCGAAAAAAATTTCAATTTTCCAAAAAACAAAGCTTCGTATTAAAAAAAAAAAAACTCACGTTAGAATCTATTCTTATATATAAAACCACGTAACATTATTTGTATAATTATTTACATTGAAAATCACATCGAACAATAGTGAAAGATAGGGGATAATCATGTTTTTCAAATACCCTCTTGTCCAAGGGTTTTTCCTTTATTTCGAATTCCTGTCGGGTTAAGGTTCGATAAAACACACGGTGACAAGGTGACAGTTTTTCAGACTGTTCTCAGATCGAAGTTTCAGACTCGTGGTCGAAATCTGAACGCGAATAAGCAAGCAAGCAAGCAGTGGCAGCTTCTAGAAGTACAGTAATGTGAGAGGGGCACACGGATCGGGTTAAGATAGTAGCATAATGTGTATCTGTGAATATATGTGGTTCTGTATATGTGTTTGTATATGTGAGTGTGTGATACATATGGCATGATGATACAACCTGCGGAAGTGATGATTAAAGGTTAGGTCAGGCTTACCCTCGTTGTCGGCCTTCAAGTAGAGCTGCCCCTTTGGGCTCAGACACTGCCGATACTCGTTGTAATACTCTGTATTCATTCAAACCAAATTTCAAGTTATCAAATTTTATCATTTTAAGCGATGCTCTTTCCTCGCGTAGCTATTCATCAAAATTTTCTATAATAAATTTCTGGAACGTTTTCAAGCGAAATTGCGGACAATACGCAAATTCTATAATAGCGCAAAATATTTTTCAAGCTTTATTACAGCGTAGCGAAGAAAATTTGTAATATACACTGTGTGAAATTTTCATTACTAGAATCGAATATAATTTTGTTTCGATCGATTTCGTTGCATAATTATTTTCTCAAATATTTCAGTTTTTTCAATGCTATTCGTTTTATGCTGATAAAATAAACATGTTCTGTTTTATAGTTATAATTATTATAAACTACATGATACGATAAAAATTCTTGAATGCTACTAACACATTCTTTCATCGCATTTTCTAATGTGAAAAAGAAAGAAACTAGGAACTGAAATTAATTGCGAAAAATACCAAAGCCTCGTGTTTCGTGTATGGAAAGCGAAAAAAAAGTAACAAAACCTTTTTAATATATTGAATCGATAATATGATAATAAAAATTTTAATAACACACCCGCTTTGATACTATCGAAAAAATATGTAATAAATATAGATATTAGAAAGAAGATTAATTTTAGCGTTAGAAAAGTAGGCTACTATTGTCCAAAAAAAAAAAAAGGGAAGAAAGGAACATCTTTCGTCTTTCTCAAATTCGTTAAGCAGTTCATTTAGAAACTCATGAATCCAAGAAGATCCAGTTTTCGAAGATACGAAGTTTGCTGCTCCACTTTTAAGGCTACTTTTCTCTTTGATATTTGCGTTTTTCTTATTGTTCGATACCTTAAATTAGTTTCGAAAGTTGGAAAGTTACATAATAAATATAGCTTTCGACGAATTTAACATCTGCTTTAATCACAAATGACAAATTTCTCCAATAATAATTCCAAGAATTCCTCTCTTTGGATTTTAAATTATTGCTATTTATCGAATAAAACTGCGAGAAAATTGGACTAATTATTAAAAATAAACATTTATTTAAAATGTTAATTTTAATCGATAAAAAAGTAAATTACCAATATCTTAAATAAATAAACTTGTGAACTCATGTGCACAATTAGCATTAAAATTAAAAATATAATCTATGTAATAAAAGAAAAACAGTTTTTTCTTATTACTACATAAAAATATATAATTATGATATTAAAATTTGATTTTTTTATAAATACTATGAAATATAATAATATATTTAATTCAATAATTTAAATACGACAATATTTTAAATTAACTAAATTATATTTTAAATTAAATTAAATTAAAATATTTAATATTTAATAATAATAAAAAGCAAATTTTTCACAATGTGAGAAAAACCCAATTTTATTTTTTTTCAAAATTCAATTAAGTAGACATGAATATTACAACTTTTTTCTTTATTTTATAGAATATTTTTAGAATAATTATAATCTTAATTTATAGACAATTAACAAGAAAAGTTGATTCAAAAATTTTTTATATGACAATAGCTTCAATATTTTATTAATCTTCTATTTCCAAATCATAAAATTAATATATAAAAAATTTTATACAAGAAATAACAACTATCGTTTTTCTGTTCTACTGACATGTAACAAAGCTTACTTAGATTATTCTGTTCCTCAGCTATGAGATCTAAATTCAAAAAAATGTGCAATAAAGTCAAAGTTCGTAAAGTGACAGTAATTGAATCTTTTATCCTAATTCTACAATTTCATTTCGCAACAATTGCAATATTTATGCAAGAAAAATAATATTTACTAATAAAAAGGACATTTTCTACGAAATAATCCCGAAAAATATCGCTCTAAAAGAAACAAAATTTAGAAAATGAAAAAAACTTTTATTCGAATAAAGTAAATATTTGTTCATTCACAATGCCCTATGAGAAGAATCTTTTCTCAATGATAATCTCATCTACTCGATCCTCGAATTGAAATGCGCCCAGCTTAAAATTACAACGAGGCGCAGCACATACTTGTTTTAGATCCTCCGTAACATTCTTTCGCAAACAACTCGGATCAATACTCCACATCTCCTACGAAAAATGTATCGTGGTATCTGTTTCCACGTTTCAGTCAGTTCTCAACGCGGAAAAAACTAGGAAAGAACACGGGTGCATGGAAAATAAATTTAGCCGCCTCTATTCAGACAGGGATCGGGGAACGAGGGGACGAAATCATTGATTTTACGGCATGATTCATTGATTTTATACGAATCACGGAGCATGAATGAAAGTCTGACCACTTACGCATGAGCACCGAGTGAAGTGGATCGATTGCTATAACAAAGTGCATTTTATCAACGGCTCTTAACGGCGATACGATCAAATGTGGAGCGACAATTCCTCCTACGATTATCATTAAAACGGATTTATAATAATAAAACAAGAGTACAACGGTGGTTGGAAATATCGGGGTATTTTTTTTTTTTTTTTTTTCTTTATGAATGAAAGAGTTTTATCTACGTTGTGCACTGATTACGATAAAGAAGTTGAAATTAATTATTGTATTACGATTGAACCTCGATTATTCGCGTATCCGATTATCCGTGCGTTCAATTACCAAATAATCTCGATGCCTGAGATTAACTGGAATTACGAAGCGCATTTTCTCTGTAAATTTGCATGATACAATGAAAATATTTGCTGAATATTTGTTGAATGAAAATATATATGAATTGTGGATATTAAAAATTTTAATGAATGGTGAATTTTCTTCGTTAAACATTTTGTCTTAGTAAAATTTTATAAGAAAAAAAATATATATATTTGGCTCTCCAAAATTTAAAAAAAAAAATATATATTTTTTAATCAATTTGTAGATTATTCTATCTATTTCTGTTTATAATTTTGATTTTTTAAAATCTTAATATAAAGATCCCTTTCTACTTAAAAAATTTGTATAAATTATTTTTCTAAACTAACTAATTTTATAAATATTATTCTATAAAAATAGCGATACATAGTTAGTTTTATGGAATAAGAAAACGTTCATTTTGTTGCTCGAAAGATTAGTAAAAATTTTCATTGAAACACACAGAATTGACTTCGTCGAATCGAGGTGGGGCTGAATTGCCAGTGGATTAAGGCTGTTTATTTATCGACGCGTAAAAAGACCTTAATCTACATGAATATTGAAACCTTTGACACGTTCACAGGCTGCCTCAGGGTTTTATCTGAAAACCAAAGTTCCGTCTTTTTCGCATAGTGTTCAAATGTGTAAATTGACATTGGCGTGTCTGATGAAATCCTGATGAAGCTAGCTTCAATACTTCGAAACGAACGTTTTTCCAAAGAAAATAAAGAAAAGTTCTGGAAGCTGAAAAAAACTTCAAAAGCTTGGAAAATAAGTACGAGAATATTAAAATCTTTGACATTTTCGCTATCTGACATCAATCACGCAATCTGAAATCTGTACATGTTCACTTTTTTTAAAAATTCTTATCTTTTTATGTAGCTTTTATCTGATTACATTGTTATTAAGAATCGAAATCTAACATTATAACTAGGAATTGTGATAAATTACTCGAAATCAATG